AAACAGGGGTTTCAGGATACAAGCTTGATATAGTCTCAAGAAGAGGTCCGCCCCACCTCCTTCTGCTGCTCACTTGGGCCTTAACTGAAAACTCTCACGCACTCTTTATCATGATGGCCTATGACAGCCCCAGACCCCAGCTTTCCAAGGATCAAAAAACCACCTCAATTGGTCTTCTGATCATCCCCATGAACCTGTGGGGGGTGAATCATGCAAAACAAGCATATACTCAAGAAACGAAGAATCCCTACAACCAGGTATTATTTTAGCAATCAGCCAGTAGCCAAGCCCAAATTCAATTATAAATCCTAAAGGTATATTGTTACATTAAAGTCTGGCATTCTCAAGGCCAACTGGCTGACTCAGTGGCAGACTAAATCACAGTTAAAAAGTAGTATAGACTCATGGACAAATTAACAAGCTAGGGGCAAGGAGACCTGGGTACGCTTAAAAGGGGGAAAAAAGTTATTTTAACTACAATGAACAGAAAACTAAGAATAAGAATTCCATCTTAAAACAGATGGGTAAAAAAAAGCAAAACAAAACAAGAAAACAGATGGGTAAAAAGTAGCTGGCAATGTCTTGTAAATCTTGCCCAGCTCAAGTCCAAAAGGCAGGATGGCAAGTCATTTTATTAACAGATGAAGCTTTCTGGAGCTGGTGATGTCTAACAAGATACTAGTATTGAAATATATCAAAAAATAATTTTAGCACTGACGCCCCACAAGGACAATATTAAAACAGTTTTCTGATTGTTTTTCTGTAGTATTACAATTTTCTAAGTTTAATAATGGAAGACCAAAGTACTATAATGGACCAAGAAGATTCATTTCTGTGAAATAATAAATACTCAAGACTAAATTGCTTTTCTTTACTTAGGGCATTTCAGCAAAAGATACATTATTTGAAGAACTAATACAACCACTATATGGAGGGAATACAACCCTTAGAAAAAAAGTTTAAACTTCTGTTTCTATTGACGTGTTCTCAGTATCTAGAGCCTCAAAACTGCAGACATATATGGTCATTTATGACAATAGTACATACACAGATAACAGAAAACAATTCAATACTTAACCAAGTTCATCAAAGCACAGAGAGATTACCACTCAAGGATGTTGACACAAAAACTGAAGGACCTCTCAAGCTCCAATCATATGCAGATAGGTTGAGCCCTTTGCAGTTACTCATTCAGAACAGAAGTGGAAGATTAACCTACCCTCACTTCTCTTCAAACAAACCCTGACAAAGCAGCAGGCGGCTCTTCAGCGTATGTTCAGCATCATCGTTTGCTCCAGAAGTGGCCATTTCAGTCAGGACCCTCATCTTCAGGTTGCCACTGCTCCACCCTGTCCCCCTCATCCTTTCTGACCAGACGCTCTCGTTGAGATTAAGTCTTTCTGGTCTCTTTCTCAAGCATCACCAAGTTCTTGTTTTCTAAATAAGGCTCTGCTAAACCCCAACTCACCTGCAGTTCACTGCACTGGGTATCACCCAAATAGCCCATCAGAGCTCTTTATAATTTCTGAAAGAGAGAGAGAAGGAAGCTTTTAAATACATAGTAAAAAATACCACTCCTGATATATCAGTTCTGAAGCATTTGTATCCAGTATTCACAGCATCTGATGTTTTGGTCCATAGTATTTCAACAAAATATAGCATAACCAGCAAGGACCAAGAGTCCTGAGATAAGAGTCCAGAGATAAAAGTTTGGTTTAATGTTGCTATTTAGTTGTGTGACCTTGGGCAAGTTGCTTGACTTCTCCAGGCCTAAACTACCTCATCTGGAAAATAAAGACAAACTAGAAAGAAGTAGCAGAGCACATTACAATGGAAAAAGCACAGGCTTTCCCAGCATCAATACTTACTAGTCTTGTGACGTTATGTTAGTTTACATTTAATCTAAGTTTCCTCCTTTGCAAAACATAAATTACAAAAACTATCTTGGAGTTGTTATGAGGATTAAAGGATTGAGTTATAAAAAGCCTATATAGTAAGCATACTGTGCAGCATTTTAATTCCACAGATGGTAATTATCGCCATTACCCCAAGCCCTAAAGTTTGCAAATGTTTACTTAAAATATCGACAAATCAAAACTTCGCTGACCTGACAATGGAGTTAACTATCTGAGTGTTTCACTAACAATTCAATTACAATTATCTTAACCTGATGGTAGTTTAAGATTATCAATATTACTTAACATCACAGGAAATAAGGGTGGAACAGTCCCTGCCCAATATCTAACTGGTTGAGTGGCCATGTCTTCCCTGACGTCTCCGTCTGCTTTCACAGCTACCACTGTAACTCAGCAACAGAGAGGTCTTCCAAAAGCCAAATGACACCAACTGTTTTCTATGCTCAGCTCAGGGGAACAGGACTAAAGATGGAGGAAAGAGAACAGAGGCTTGCTTTTTTATCTTTTTTACTTTACACACTTAAGTACTGCTCAGATTTGTTTACCATAGCATGCATCAGTTTTGCATGAAAATCAATGAGCAAAAATAAAAATTTATAAATGATGTTAGTTACACATACTGCCTACGGACAGGAAAGCTTGCCTTACAGGAGTATTTTCACCACAAGAATTTCCACAGAAGAAAGCAATAAGGCACATTCAGATGTGTGGAGAACACCTTAAACATGGTATAGGAATGACAAAAATCACAAACATTCACACTTTAGAATGGTTTAGTCAAAAAATATGTATACATTCTTTGAAAAAAACAATGACGAATCATTGATTTTGGCTTTTTGTTTGTTTTTATTCAAAAGCAGGATGAATATACAAACTCGGGTTTTCTCAGGCAACTTTCTGCTCTTGGAGAAATTGACCCAGTACAATTTACATGAGTCAACAAGTTGGTCTATTTGGTAGTATACTGAAAAACTTTTTGTCTACTTTTTGTCTAAAACAATTTGATAGCTTTTAAACAACTGATAGCTTTTAAAAACAATTATTATACATATAAAAGTCTTCATGTTACATTCATCTTTAATATTATTTTTCAAAAGGAGTATTAACTTTATTAAATTCAGGATTACTTAAAAGTATTATCCCAGCCACCCTTTAAAAATGCTAGAACACTGTTTTATGCTACTTCTAGCCAATGCTACAGAAATAATCCTGACTACACCCATCAATTTAAATGAACTGTAAGCTTGTGTGGCCACAGTCTTCACACCTATCATAGGTCTCTCCTAGAAAACATTTCAAAATATTACTTAGAAATCAAATTACATTTGCATGTACACTTAACTAAGTGTATGAAAATAAACAACCTGAATAATTTGCCTTTAATTTTTTAAGCAGCTTCTTCTCCTCTCTTGTTTATCAACAAGTTGATGAACTTGGCCCAAAATTTTTTCTGCATTTGAAACAACAGGCAAAGGATCTTACTTCTTGTGCTGGGCCTGTATCTAGATCTTAAATATAGTCTGACAGGCAATTATAGACTGATTTGCATTTAATATTAATACCAAGCCTACTTCTGAAAGAGAACAAAAATGCATGTATAAGATCTGGTCTACTTACTTGTAGTTCCCGCTGCAATATTCTTAGCCTTTCATGAATATGCTGTATATTTTTAAACTGCACAAGGCCCTTTGTAAGTAAGTATGATTCCTCCTGTTGTTTGGCCTCACTCCCCGCTCCAGGAAAACACTGGACACTCCATAAATGTATATAGACTTTAAAACAGTGTAGATTAAATATTTATGGTATCAGAAAATGAAACTTCTTGCTAACAATTGCAAAAGTCAAATTACCAGCTGACAGAGAGGTACTTAGGACTCCCCAAAACTACAGCCTTACCTAAAAATAGTGTTCTAGCTTCCCAGCCAAAAGGACAGACTAAAAAAGTTATGTCTTTATTCGGCTCAAAGACACAGACTTCGACTTCACCACAACCTTCAATACTATGGTATTTCCCATTTTAGAAGGCTTTGTGTAACAACTTGTTCGGTGGCCAACCACTAACTTCACTTTGAAGTGAATACTAACACTTCATATGGTCAACATGTGTGAAAATTGTGAAAACTGTCCTGACACAATTCAGGCCAAACAACAATAGCCACACAAGATTACCTATTTCTAAATATTCAATTTTAGACTACAAACAAACATCCTCATAGGCCAAAAAGCAGATTACCGGTTCCTTTCCACAAAGTGGTCTGTAAATGTAAAACCAACAAACAAAATAAATAAATACATGAAAATAAAAAATAAAAAATTCAGATTGGGGGGAGGAGGGGTCTAAGGCATGAATATGCCCCCGTCTGTAAACTGAAAATAAATTTAAAAATCCATATTTGTTCTGCCCAAAATAAAAATAAATGTAATACACACAAGCACTGCTGAGTTTCAAACACAAGCAAATGTGGTGTGTGCACTTACAAAAGGATCTTGGTTTATGTCCACCTTCCTCTCACAAGTCCTTTTTTAAAAGGCAAAATGTCAATTGTATGCCTCAATCTGGAAAAAAATAAAGCACAGCTTATTCTTCTTAAACAGATGTTGCGATAATATGAAAAGTTGTGAGAGAATTCCAAAATCCAAATGCTACCCAGATGTGTTTAAAAAAAAAAAAAAAGCCTGCAGTAACTAATCAATCTATCATAACTTAATTTTCTCAATAAACCATAGTAAAATATTTTTAAAGTTAAGAAAATTGCTTGTGAAAAATGTAAAATTAGCAAACCTCTCTCCTTCTCCCCAGTACTAAATACCAAATGTTCACTAACATCATATCAATAATGTCCTTCAAATCCAAAGCATCACAAGTTAGATTAAATAAAGCAACACTTTGAATTCACACACCACGTGTGACCAGAAAATGATGACAAACCAGCCTTATCCCTAATAAGCTAAACAAAAGTCAACACTAGTGTTTTTATTTCAAAATAACTATGAGACAAGTACTATTCCGTTTTACAGAAAATAAAAGGAGTGACTGATTTGCCTAAAATAATTCTTTACAATGTAAATGGTGTACTTTGCAAGATGCCCACAAACTGTGGACACACAAAATCCACATACACAATCAGTAACACTCAAGGTAGGGTGATGGACATCAAAACACAGATAAAATTAAGACATCCAATTTAAGTTACACAAGGAAATTTAAATAGGCAAACTATAATTACACCTGGTGAAGATACTGATCAAGGATAGCTGCAAAGAATATTTGGCTCTGGATAAGCTCCACTATGGTTGAGTATGCTGCCGCCACTGAAAAGTTTGGTCCACTTGACACATTTTTCCTTTCTAACCCTGCCTACACACCCACTTGACTGAATGCGTTATTTGGAAAATAAAGACGGCCCCATCAAATTACTTAGTTTCTCAGCCTTACCCTTATGAGTTGATTAAAATAAGGAAGAAAAAAAGGTAAATCATTTTAAACTGCAGTCTCACCTTACACATCTCACCAGCACTGTAGTTCTTTAGTGATCAATTACTTCATCCAATTCCTGAGACAAATAGAAAAGTAAAGTCTATACACCACCAGTTAAGAGAGTCATGATCAGCAGCAAACATTTTGTCAGCCTAAAGTGAAAGGGCATCTAAATTTCAAATGGAAAAAGTTACCAAAATGGTACCGTATGCAGCTTTGTACATGAGTCTGTGTTTTACTTTAAAATAAAAACATTTCCTGTCTGTGTGATAAAATAAGATTATAAAAATGCTCTTAGAATCCAAAACATTAAAAAAAAAGTCATCTCTTCAGCACTGACAGACCTTACTTAAAAAAAAAGAAAAAAATAAAGAAGAAATGAGGGAGAAGAAACCTCATTCATTTGCGTTTCAGAGAGGGCAAAATGAAGAACGAACTAGCCAGGGCAACTCCCCACCCCCTCCCCAGGAATCCACTGTCTCTGGAGTTATACATATTCTATTAATGATTTCCCTGAAAAGTGTAAGTTATGAGGGAGAAGGCATAACAATTTTGAATTTCAAACAAAACCTGAGGATCCCACTCCAAGAAGAATCCTGAGACCCTGGTTTCCAGCCCTTCTGAGGGACCCTCAGCCAAGGGGGAGGGTGTAGAAGGCTCAAATAATCCAGGGGAAGAGGAATCAAAGTCCCTGGGTAAAACTGCAGTCCCTTAACCCTAGAAAAGGGGAGTCTTACAGGAATCGCCAGGAAAGGGCCGTCTGTTTTTATTTTTGTTGATGTGTTCGCGGCCGAAAGAGAATCTCCGAGGAGGGGGCAGAGAAAGAAGGTAAAAAGTGAACTCAGGCAACAGCCCTCGGGGGGGAAGGAAGGGGGCGCACCCCTGACCCACTTTTTCCGACGCCCACCCTCCGGTCCCCGCCCCACGCGGGTGGAAGTCCGAGCTCTGAGGGGGGTAATCGAGCGGGGCGTGGGAGGCCCGCACGCTCCCCACTCCCAGCCGCGACCCGGGGACGGGGAGCGTGCAGAGAGGCTCGGCTCCCCCTCGCGGAGTCCTGGGGGCCGGAGAAACCTCCCGCCGGCTCGCGGCCCGGGTCTGCAAGGCCCCCTCCACCGCCTGGGCCGAGGGCGCTGCGGCCCCCAGCGGAGGGGAAGGGGACCGAGGAGGGGAAGAAGCTGTAAACAGCCCCAGCGTCCGGGCCTCGCCTCGAAGAGCCCCGCTTCCCAGGCCCCGCCGCGGGCCGCCAGGACCTCCAGCCCGCCCCGGGGGCGACCCTCCCGGGGCCCGGGGGACCAGAGGAGAGTCCAGTCCCCTCCCCGGAGGGCTCCGGCCGCTCTCCGAGCGGTCCCAGCAGCAGAGAAGGGGGAAGTCAGGACTTACCTGTCATTACTTTCTACGCCATCTTGGATCCACTTGTCAACGTCCCCACAAAGCATTATGGGTAAGAAAGAGCCTTTAAAGTGACTCCCCCCCTCGGCCCCCGACTCCCGCCTCCGCCGCCGGCGCCGCCCCTCCGGCCGCACCTCCCGACCGGAAAGTTGCCCCCGGTGGCGGGCCGGCCCGGGCGCCCTCGGGCCGGCACCCCTCCCCTCCTCCGGGCTGTTTGCATTTGAAAGTCACCCCTATTTTTAAAATGTGGCTTTGGGTTTTTCTCTTTGCTGCAGCCCCTCGCCTCCCTTCCCCTCACCCCTCGCCTCCACGCGGGTTCCCTTTGCCCAGCCGCCCTCCTGCCCTGGCAGACACCCCACGTCTGCATTTAATCAGCCCGAGGTTTCCCTGTTGCTGGCAGCAAAGAGCTGCTCATTGATTTATTTGTGCGCATTATGTGTCTGTTATTGCTCCAGATCCTCGGTGCAAGGCGGCGGTCTCCTGTGACCGGCTTCCCGCCCGGGCAGCCGGGAGGCGTCTTCAGGGCCCGGGAGCCCAGCAGCCCTGCAAACCACCCGGCACTCTGACTCCCGCATCCGCGGACCAAAAAGTGCCCCTGTCCTGATAAACCGCTCCGGAGCCGTCGGGCTCCGGGATCTGGGCGACACGGTGTCCCCGAGTCAACTAGTGTCGAAGCGCACTTGGGGGGGGTGGGGGTAGAGTAATAAAGCTAAAGGCAACTTTTACCCTGTTTACTTTCATTCCTGCTGTCTCCTCCCCTCGGCTTGTAACGTGATCCGCGACCCTATAGTTGGGGACCCCTCCCCTAGGAATGTGGCTTTGGGCTCTACCGAATCCACGCTTTCACTGCCCGGGCTGCGTGCGGACTGTGACTTCCCGGGGCAGGTAACTTGGGATGCAGACTGCGTGCTCCGTCCCGGGCGCAGAGGCGCGCCAGGGCTTGCAGGAGGGTCCCGGGCTGGAAGGAGCGTGCGCCCGCGTGGGTCCACCTGCCGGGTTCCGGCGGGGCGATAAGCCCAGGTGGCCCAGCGAGGGGAGAACTGCTGGCGCCACCCCCTCCCAGGGGTTGTGGGGGGACGCGGAGTCGCCCGGCTGCGACCCGAGACGCTGCAAGTAAGGGGCGCCGAGACGCCGGCGGAGGACCCGGGCAAGCGACCCGGTAGCCCACGCCCGCTGCCCGGGCCTCTGGTCGGGCCAGCCAGCTCTTTCCCGAGGAGCCGGGCTCTGTCCCCGATACTCGCCGCGTGCTTTCGGTGGCGCTGGGCGAGCAGAGCCCTGGCACAGTCGTCCCCTTGCCTTTGGCGCCGTTGGTCAGTTCCCCGCTCTTTCACTTCCCGGTACCTCTGGTCTCTGCTTTGTAGATTTTGGCGACCTGCGCTGGTTGCTTTTTTTTTTCCACGCAAATTTTTACAAAGGTGTCCAAGGGAAAAATACTCTAGGACATCAGTGCTTGAGAAACTGTATTCGGTACAAAATGCTGTTGAATGGGTCTGAAATTACAGGACTGCGCGGACATTATATCCGCCTTCGGTGCACCGGGAGGGCTTGGGACCGGGGGGGGGCTACTCAAGGGTTTCTAAGCTCCTCCAGACCCTGTGAGAAGCCTCTCTCGAGGAACCTGGACGGTTGCTGACGTGAGTCCTGCCCCCGGGGAGCTAAAAACTCCACCAGGCAATTGTCCCTGCCAGATGGGAAGAGTGAGGTGTAGACTCATTAAGGGATTGGCCCGGGGACAGCCGTGTGGAAGAGAGCGAAGCTAGGTAATGAGTCACTCCCGGCCCAGAACGCGGCGTGCAGGGGAGGGACCTCCCCTGAGTCACCCGCTTCTCTTCTGAGCTCCGAATGAGCTGAGAAACTGGAGCCTGGAGCCAGGTTCTTCGACGTTCCAGAGCAGGCAGCCACGCAGGGCCGTGGGCTAGGGGCGGGGACACAACACGGCTCGTGACCGTCTGCGGCTGCCCGCTGGATTATATAATACCCTTCCGGTCTCAAGAAGACTTCAGTCTCCTCTTTGCAGGGTACCCCAGTTGCTCCTTTTCCAGTTCCCTCTTCAGCCACAACTGTGCACTGATTTAATGGTTGTTTTGTGTTTACAGGGCACCTCTCGGTGTGTGGTCTGTTTCCTATACTTAAACACTAAACAGACTGAGGGCAAGGATTGTACCTCCCAAACGTTTCTTTAGAAGGGCCCTTTCTTTGCCGTTATAGGCCTTGACCCAAAAAAGCACTCAGTTTATGTGCCTGCCTGACCCATTCATCCGTTCTGGAGAGCATCTGGTCGACCCTTGAAACGCACGATGTGGTGTCTGAGCTCTAAAGCCTCCTAACTCTTCTCCCTGCCTCCACTCTGCCCCCTACAGTCCATTCTGCATCTGACCAACCCAGTGACATTTGTGATGTGTTAATGGAATCTAGTGACTCCTGCTTAATCCTCCAAAGGCGCCCCCCATCAAACTTAGAATAAAACCCAAATTCCTAACCATGGTCACAAGCTCCTGTGTGAGCTGGCTCCTGCCTCCCCTCCCTCACCATGATCGCTGTACTGGATTCTCTCCCCTTGCAGCACCCCAAGCTTCTTTGCAGCAGAAACCTTGTTCCCCCAGCTCTGATGATCATCATTTTTTCAGCACTCAGGTCTCAGCTCAAGTGTCACCTCCTCAAAGAGGACATTCGGTATCCCTTTTTTTTTTTTTTTTAAATTAGCCCTCCTGCTACCTGTTAGCAGCTCAGCTCAGGCCTGGCATCGAACCGCTGTTGCTCAGAGCTCGCACTCTTGAGCGAGCTCTTAACCAACTGAGCCACTCGGCCGGCCCTCATCCCTTTAACTAAAGCAGGTCATTCTCTATTCTCTTACCCTGAGTTAGAAATTTTCTAATTTTTCTGTTAATTATTTATCTGCTGTACCCCCATTGGAGTATAGCTCCATAAGGGTACAGGCCTTGTCTGGCTTACTCACTCTGCCTAGACCAGGGTCTGGCACATCTATCGATGCTCAACAAATATTTGTTGAATGAATGACAAAACTTATCAGAGCTAGGGGTGGTAATGAAAGAGAATGCTGAAGAAGCATGGAATGAGCTGCTGAGCGCCCTGCCCTTCGTCTCTTCAGATCACTCTGGAGGTAGGCAGATAGGAATGCACTTGGGGGAAAACAAGCCCCTTGGCCAGCATGAATGCTGCCCCATTCTGATTCTGATCTGATGAACACATAGCCCCAAATAATTTCTCACTCACTCCCCTGTTTTTCTCATTTTCTCCTCTCCATTCCCCTCATTGGCCACACCTTCTTTTCAGGTTCAGTCCTTGGGTCTCTCATCTTCTTCAATACACACACACACACACATACACACGCCATCTCTCCAGTCTCAAGTCTTTAAAAACCATCTTTACCCTGAGTGAAGAAAGACTCCAAACCTATAGCTCCAACAGATAGCTTTCTCCTGAGCTTCAGACTTTTATCCAACAACTTGTGGGCATCTCCACTTGGCTGTCTTATAGACATCCCAAACTCAGCATGTCTAGGAATGACCTGGACTCTTGACCTTCCCTACCAATATGCTCCACCAGTCTTCCCCGGTTCTACGCTTGACAACTCCATCCTTAAAATTGCTCAGGCCAGCCACACAGTCCCTCTGGTCCTTTCAAACTCCATCTCCAATCCATCTACAAATCCTGCTTTGCCTTCACATATCCAGTATCTGACCCTTTCTCATCGCCTCCATTGTGGCCACTCTGGTCCAATACACTACAGTCTGTTCCCCTTTGCCCCCATCTAGTGTATTCTCGACATAACTGCCCACAGGTCTTCATAAAATTAAATCAAATCCTATCCTCTATACATGACTCTGTGATTTCTACTCATCTCATTCAGGGGAGAAACCAGAGTCCCACACACTCTGTTTCATCTCATCTCTTTGACCTCATCTCCTCCCTCTGTCCCCCCTGGCTCTGCCTCAGGCACAATGGACTCCTTTTTGAGTGTTCCCTCCTCTAGTAATATTTATTTCCACTTGGCTCACTCCTTCACCTCTTTCAAGCCTTTGCTCACTTCAATGCGTCCCTTTCTCACCATCCCATTTAAAATTTCAATATCCCTCAACACACACACATTCTATATTTATGCCCCTGCTTTCTTACTATCTATAGCATTTATCGCCTTCTAACATAATAAGTAGTTTGTTCAGTTGTTCAGTTTCTTAGCTATATCTCTCCATGTAGAGTATCCACTTGCTGGTCACCAAAGATTTGTGTTTGTTGCTGAGAATTACATTTCCCGGCTGTGCCCTTGCTGTGACTAGTTCTTGCAAATGGACTTAGAGCAAAAGTGTGACTCTGAATGAGCATGTGGAAATCTGCCAAACCAAAAATACATGCATTAGACTCTAAGCTGATCAGACAATAGGCCTTTAGTATGCTAATTCACTGACAACTTGTGATCTACTTGTCATACCAGTAGCACTCCAATTATGTCATCTTGGTTACTACAGCCCACTAGAGCAGACGCTCAATGAAGACAAGGGACTTGTGTATGTTTTGTTCATTACGGTATCTAGTCTCAGTGCCCAGAACAGAGTTTGACAAAGAATAGGTATTTAATACTTAATAAATATTTGTTGAGTGAATGAATGAATTCTCTTTCCACAACCAATCATGAAAATTAATGAGTGGTTGGCAAGGAAAGAACAATGAGAAAGGATTTTGTTGTTGTTGTTTTTGTTAAAGTAGTAAAAACTGAGTTTCTAGAGAACTACTGGCTATAAGATTTTGGTAAAGCTAAAGGGAATTCCCTTTAATTTTGTTCTTTCTGTTTTCACTTTTCCACATCTTCCGCCTCTATTACCCCTCCCCAAGTCCTCTTTCACTTTCCCTTTCTTCTTTTCCCCTTCCTCTTTCCTTCATGGATTTCCTTCCCTTTTTCTTCCCATTTAACCAACAAGAATTCACTGCCTATTAAAATGAGCCACTCTGAGTGTTCAGCCAAGATATCTACTCTAAGTCACTTAAAATATAGTATTAATAGTAGGAGATGACATGGGTTAAAAAAAGAAATAGTAAATCTTTGGAAACTTATACTCCCCTTCTACTTTTTAGGCCAACTTCCTTTCTATTTGAGGTATAGAAAAGTGATGGTGGACCAGATGATTCGACTAATCCTCCCATTGAGGACAACTAAAACAAAACGGACCATATATTCTTCAAAACATCAGCTTGAACACATCTGGAAGGTTAACAAAACTGAAAACTACCACTGGTAGAACAGGGAAGTGATTCTGAAATGTGGGATCCTTGTGTCCTAAGGCCCTTACCTTTTGACAACAACTTGAGTCAAGAGTAAGTATCCCCTCACATCCATTAGGATAGCTATTATCTAAAAAACAGAAAATAACAAGTGTTGGCAGGATATAGAGAAATGAGCACCCTTTCACATTACTTGTGGGAATGTAAAATAGCGCAACCACTATGGAAAACACTATGGCTCTTCCTCGAAAAATGAAACAAAATTACCATATGACCCCCTCGATCCCACTTCTGGATCTATACCCAAAGCAATTAAAAGCAACGACTCAAACAGATACTTGTATACTTATGTTCCTAGCAGCATTATTCAAAGTAGGAAAAATGTAGAAGCAACCCAAGTGACCATCAACAGGTGGATGGGTTTAAAAATGTGTTTGGGGGCCGGCCAAGTGGCATGTTGGTTAAGAGCTGGCTTGGGATGCCAGAG